GGAGAGAGGAGAGAGGAGAGAGGAGAGAGAGAGAGAGTCTTCCATAACTCCCCAATTGGCCACAATGGCCACAGCAGCACTGATCTTAAGCCAAGAGCCAGGAACTTCCTCCAGGTCTTCCCACGTGAGTTCGGGGGCCCAAGGGCTTGGACCATCTTCTACTGCTTTCCCAGACCATAGAAAAGAGCTGCATTGGAAGTGGAGCAACCAGGACTCAAACAGGCACCCGTATGGGATGCTGGCACTGCAGGTGGCAGCTTTACCCACTATGCCACAGTACCAACCCCAAGTATTTGGTTCTTAAGTCCTGCATGGCTATGTGGCTAGACATTTCAGGAGAGACACAGTCAAAGCTATATCATACATGAAACATGTAAAAGTTGAGATAGAAAGATACAATTCATTGTGGTTTTTATTGGTATGAAAACAAAGTGACTTAGCCAGTTTCTGGATATAAACTTGGATTGCTTTAGAGGACTGTCATGAAGGTAATTACTCCATTTCAGGAGATGGAACCAAATGTATTTGCTAGAATGCGATTACCTGTCCAGCACATGGAACATTCACCACTGTGCCCATTCAGAGTCCATACCCTTGATGCCTCCCTACCCAACCATGGGAGAAACTGAGCTGGGACTCTTGTGCTCAGAAAATATTGATCAATTGAATCTGTGAGATCTCCTTGACTGCATAACATCAAGTCTATTATTCAGAAAGGATTACATTCAAAATGTATAGGCTTCATCTCTCCAATGTGTAATTTCATGATCATTTTTAAAAAGTTTTATTTATCTTTTTGAGAGGCAGAGTTACAGATAGAGAAGGGGAGAGAGAGAGAGAGAGAGAAAGAGAGAGAGAGAGAGAGAGAGAGAGAGAGAGAAAGTCTTCCATCCACTGTTTCACTCCCCAAATGGCCTCAATGGTTGGAACTGGGCTGATCCAAAGCCAGGAGCCAGGAGCTTCTTCTGGGTTTCCCACTTGGGTGTAGGGGCCCAAGCACTTGTATCATCTTCCACTGCTTTCCCAGGAGTATTAGCAGGGATCTGGATCAGAAGTGGAACAGAAGGGACTCAAACCAACATCTATATGGAAAGCCGGTGCCACAGGCAGAGGCTTAACATACTATGCCACAGCACTGGCCCCTCCATGATCACTTTTAGCTTTATATTACAAAGGGTCTTCAAAAGGTTAATGCAAAATATGCATGATGAAAAAATGAGGCATGAATTTCAAAATTCTTGGTGTCAAAATAAACTTGCTTTATTTTTTCCATGAACTTTTTGGCATCCTCTCATACTGAGTCCTGGAGAGAACATCACATAATTATCTGTGGCATCTATTCAACCATAGATGACTGACTGGCTCTCAATGTCTCTACTCCTTAATAGGTGTTTGGGATTGTTCTGGTTTCATCACTGAATGTTCCACAGCCCAGGAAACTCCTGAGCTTCAAGAAAACTGTTATAGCCAATTACCTTATTCCAAAATGAAAGAAGGGTAATGACTTTCCAATAAAGTACTTAATCTAAACTCAGAAGAGTGAATTTTCCTAAAACAAAACTCAATTTAAGCTTAACTTTGGGGCTAGCACTGTGGCACAGTAGGTTAATCCTCTGACTGTGGCACTGGCATCCCATATGGGGGCTGGTTTGAGACCCAGCTGCTCCTCTTGTGATCTAGCTCTCTGCTATGGCCTGGGAAAGCAGTAGAAAATGGCTCAAGTCCTTGGGCCCCTGAATCCGCATGGGAGACCAGAAGAAGCTCCAGGCTCCTGGCTTTGGATTGGCGAAGCTCCAGCTGTTGCGGCCATTTGGGGAGTGAACCAGTGAATGGAAGACCTTTCTCTCTGTCTCTCCCTCTCATTGTCTGCAACTCTATCTTTCAAATAAATAAATAAAATCTTTTAAAAAAATAAACTTAACTTTGAGATTCTGTCTTCCTAAATCTTGTCTTCAGAATGCCTCTTTAGAAATGAAATCATGGTTGGGGCCAGCGCCGTGGCTCACTTGGTTAATCCTCTGCCTGTGGCACTGGCATCCCATATGGGCCCCAGGTTCTAGTCCCGGTTGCTCCCCTCCCAGTCCAGCTCCCTGCTGTGGCCCAGGAGTGCAGTGGAGGATGGTCCAAGTGCTTGGGACCCTGGACCCACATGAGAGACCAGGAAGAAGCACCTGGCTCCTGGCTTCGGATTGGCGCAGCTCTGGCCGAGGCGAACATTTTGGGGGTGAACCAATGGAAGGAAGACCTTTCTCTCTGTCTCTCTTCTCTCACTGTCTATAACTGTACCCATGATAAAAAAGAAATGAGATCATGGTGATAGTGTTTTGTAGTATTGTAGTTTAGCAGCTTATTTGTCCCTGTTGAAGACTACCTTCATCAAAATCCCTCCCCTTATTTCTGCTATAGATTGGGTACCACTCACTGATACAGATTCTCTGTCCCTCCTTCTGGCTATCATACTGGGACTTTTGATCTCGAGTTAGGATATCCGTGGGGGGCATGTGGAGTTGGTTATAAGTGCTGAGCCTGGAAAAGTTAACACTCTTGTTTTGTTGGTTTATGTACTACATTTGGGGAAATTGACCTTCCTCTTACCTTTCCTACATTCCTTTTGAGTTCTTTCTCTACTCTCAAACATTTGTTTTGAAATTCTGAGTGGGAAACTATGGAAGCCTTTTATTGTAATAGTGTCAGGACAATTATATGAGGCCATGTGGATAATGCTATGGGGAAAGATGCAGGTAAAGGAGGAGAAGGAAATGATTTTCCATTGAGTTACCCTTAGGCAAGTCCTTTGGCTTTCAGACTCTCACTTTTCTCATTTGCAAATGAAGGGTAATACCTTTCTTACTACCCTAAGGACATTGTTGGGCAGAGTGCATGGAATAAAAGATTGTGAAGGGATTATGATGATGCAGCCAGCAGCTGTTTATCAGCTTGTTTCCTCTCCTCCCTTAGCCTGGGCTTCTTCATCAGGAAATGAGTCCAGAACAGAGAGGTCTTTTGGTAATCTTACCAACTCTCACATAACAAGCAGAGGCATTACCTCATTGCAGCCAAGCATACCTGCTTTCTAACAGCAATCACTCAAAACTCATTCCATTCTCCTCCTGTTGGCCTTCAATCCCTCATCACATTTTTTCTCTCATTCCCCTGACTCTCAGGCACAAAGCCTCAATCCCAAGGGCCCAGGTTAGGGCACTTTCTTCCCAAACCCTAACATTCCATAGTAAGCACCTGCAATTTACGATCTCTGCTCCCTTCCTGCCCAAAACACATAGCACAAAATACATATGGATCAAGAGGGGAATTGTGGTGGAGAGAAAAAAAGAGCATTATACTAAGAATCAAATAACTGTGCTCTGGTCTGGCCAGTGTACCTCACTAGCATTTTACCCTTGGGTAAATCACTTCCTCTTCATATTCCCATCTGTGAAGTTAAGGGGGGGGCAGGGAGGGCGGTTCTCATTGTTTGGTAGAAAAGCACTGGCCTAGGAAGCTGCAGATCAGGTTTCTGGTTCCCATGTTGCTGCTTGCTAACTTACAACTATGACTTGATGAAAATCACTTTCCCTTTTACTGCACCAAACTCCCCCAATTGTAAAACAAGAAGGCTGGATTCGATGATTCATTAAGGTCCCTCTCAATCTGGAAATTGGGGGATTCTATGAAAAAAAGTTTCATTTATAAAACATAGATTGCAATGCCTACTCTGTACCAGGCATGATTTGATGACAATTGTGAAGGGGCTCATGGCTGGGACTCTGAGATTTTGAGTATGACTGCTGCTGTCAGTGTCCCAAAGTGGCAATACTGTGACCCCATATAGCCCATTACTATACTTCTCCTGCTTTGGGTTCCTCCATCCCAATACCCACCCCCCCACACACACACCACCACCACCTATAACGTAAACGATGATGATGAATCATGCAGAAGTTTCTGAAACATACTCCACCATCTGTCTGCTGGAGATATTCACAGTGCTGTCATCAAGCTGCAGTGTGGTCTCTTGCTGCCCGAATAGAGAAGCAAGCCAGAAAGCAATGGCAGATTAATGGAGTTGGAGGGAAGTGGTTGATTTTCTGACGGAATGGTCTGTGAAAGCCATTTATGAGCTGGACCGAAGAGACTAGATCTGGAAAGACTCTCAGTGTCTTGACTTTGAGATTACTTTTTCAAAAGGGAACTTTGACAATTCCTTACAGCTATATGTTCCTGCTGCAAGGTGCCAAGTGCCTGACCCTGATCTATTTTGGAGAGATGAGAAGCTTTCTTGACTGTATCCAGCAAAGGACATGAAAGTTTTTCTTAGTAGCTAGTCTAGAGTTAACTGCCACTAGTTGGAAAGTTGCCTCCCAGTTTGACTGTGGGAAAAATAACTGAAGAGAGTTCTCCCAACAGCAGCTATAGGGTACAATGAGACTAGACTCCAGTGTTGTATTCTACCCTTTTCAGTCTACCTGCTGTGTTCCAGTGAAAAGCTTGCATGAACATACATCCTGCCTAAGTCAAATGGGAATGTCCTGTAACTTCATGGTATGTTCTTCTTTCCTTGTACTCTTTATACAAGAGGTATTCAAAACATTAACAGAAAGCATGTTTTATGAAGAAAATTATACATAGATTTCAGAATTTATTGCCTCAAACTGAATTTATTTTCATTCCATTTTTCTGTGAACATTTTGAAGTTTCCTCATAGTAGGGGCAGACCTGTGAGTTGTCTTCCTCATTATTGACTCTGGAAATAACTTTATTCCTGACCCTATTGAGATATCAACCCTTTCCAGGCCTGCAGGCCAGCAAGGTCATTCAGCTGAAAGTCTAGGGGCTCTTATAGCAGCCTTGTTTTCATTTACTTTGCTCCCTTTCTGCTACTTGTTCAGTGCCATATGTTAAAAGTTAAAGGCTGTCTGATTAGGCTGCATTTAAACTGGTAAAACAGTCACTAATTCAGTTCTATGGTTCTTCCCTTCAGCCTAGATACCATAAAACTCTGAATCAGGCAGAAAGAAGGAAATATGGGGAAAATACTGAAAAGTGGATTCCCACAGGGCCTCAAATGATCCTCTAGAGAATAATCTTATCCAGAAGCAAGAACCAACTGGCACGTCAATGAACCCCAGCTTTGGCCGATCAGGTGGAAAATAGGCTGGAGAGCTTATATGGTAACTTTCCGCATTTGGTGCTGTGACCCAACACATCTCCCCATCTCTGCAGAGAAACCTGAGACTATGAGGAGCAGCCTGACCCTGGTGGGGACCCTCTGGGCCTTCCTGTCTCTTGTGACTGCTGTGGCCAGTTCTACCAGTTACTTCCTGCCTTATTGGCTCTTTGGATCTCAGTTGGGGAAGCAAGTGTCTTTCAGCACATTCCGGAGATGCAACTATCCTGTGAGGGGAGAAGGGCACAGTCTGATCATGGTAGAAGAATGTGGGCGCTATGCCAGCTTCAGTGCCATCCCAAGCCTGGCCTGGCAAATGTGCACAGTGATAACAGGTGCCGGCTGTGCTCTGCTGCTCCTGGTGGCACTGGCTGCTGTCCTGGGCTGCTGTATGGAGGAGCTCATTTCCAGAATGATGGGTCGTTGCATGGGAGCAGCGCAGTTTGTGGGAGGTAAGACTATGTCCCTGGGACTGGGTAGGTTGGTGGGGCAGGCTTTGGGGTAGGGAGAGTGCAGAACATACCCTTATGGAGAAATCCATTCTCACCGTCTCTGCTTTGTCTAACTCTAAGGCTATGAATGGGTACTCCTTTGAAATATCTAATCTAGGACTTCCCAAATTACCATCTATATTAGGGTTTTATTCATGACAAATTGGATAGTAGACAGAGTTGATATCTGTCTAGATATGTTGTTTAGCCTCTATTTTCATAATTTTCTTCTGATTCCAGGGTGTTCATTTACTCATATTCTCCAGATCTGCATTCCAAGGGAGCTGACACATGCCCTGGTATTACCACTCTAATGAGAAGTTGATCCGTAAGAGCTCTGCTCTCTGGTAGTCATCTCAGAAAATGGTGATCTGGTAAATGCATCCACAGAGGTGCTGATTGTTCACAATCCTCACCAAATAAATACATCTCTACTAGATATCAGACAGAATGTAGGGCTACATCTAAGGCTAGCCCCACTTGGCAGTCATTAACAGTCTACCCAGATTTCTTACTGCCCTGACCCACTTTACCTGTCATTTCCTTCATTCAGGCTCCCCCTAACTTTACCACAGAGAAACTGGGATACTGGCAGTGTGTGGATGGGCTAGGAAACAGCAAAAAGCAAAAATGACAGACTCAGGAAGGCAATGGGAGTAGTTTGATTTGAAGTGGGAAAGGAAAAACAAATTGAGATAGACAAATATGTGTATGAATATTTAAGCTATTTTGTATACCTAGATTGCACAGTCAGAAAAAGTACAGATAGAACCTACTGCTGAAGGTTGTTGTTAGAGTTTTAGAATCATTATACAATCCATCATCATTATTATGGCACAGTGTGGGTGACAGAGCCAGGAAGCCTGGATTCCACTTCTCGTTCTTGCACTGAGTTACTTTGTGGCAATGTGATCTCTTTGTGCTTCATTTCCCCTGAATTTGTCCCCTGGAAATGTAGCCTAGATTTGAAGTTTCTTCTCTGCAACTACTACATTGAGGAGGCCTTGGGATGAAGTGGTAGTGATGAACTTAGGCAGTTTGGGCTGGTTTTCAACCGTTCCCACAGAGGACATTTGGTAATGTCTGAAGATATTTTTGGTTATCACAGGTTAGTGAGAGTGCTACTGACATCCAGTGAGTGTAGGGGAGTAATGGTGCTAAACATCTTACAATGCACCCCACTCCAACAAGGAATTGTATAGTCCAAAATATCAGTAGTGCCAAGATTGAGAAATCCTGGGCTAAAGTACCATGGTTTCCTGGACTCCTCATGAAAAGCACCAGATTTATTTGGTTGCACCAGTTAAAATGATGCTTTCTGCCCTTCTTTCCACAGGCTGCTGTAAAAGTTTGAAATCTGAGTTACCATTCTAGCCTCCCTCATCTCTGAACTTTCCTGCTCTTTAGCAACTGATAGTTTTCTGGTCACATTGGAAAGAATTATATAGTTTCTCTCTTCCACTTAAGAACCATGGTACCAAACCAGATGCTAAGGCTGATCTAACTCAATGATTTTATCTCCCTCAAGGAACTCCATGCATATCACAAATCAGTCTTGGGCTATCTTTTCACCTGTATCTTTGAGTGTGCTATAGTTAACTCAGCACTTCTGTGGGCACGTTATTTCAGGAAATGACATCTGGCTGGCAGGAGAGAGGAATGGTCATAGCAATTCATATTTATGGCCCCAGAGCCAAGCTAAGTGCTTGCACAGAGCAAGTGTCCAGTAAGTGTAGAAAGAATGAATGTATGAATAAGGCAATATCTAAAATATGCTGAGGTAAGTTGGACATGTGAGGCCTGAGTTAGTTTACATCCTTTCCTTTTTTTCCAGACTTCAGTGCCAGGCTATTAGCATCCTGAGCTCTCTTTTCTTCTGACAAGAGACTGACAACTTAGCCTCCATTGCATTTTTAAGAGTTCCCAGCACAAAGTTAGGAGAGGCTAACTGGCAGCGATCAGGCTACAGGCCTGTAGCAACAGTCTCGATCAGACTCCATATCTTAATAGTGAGCCCTATTCCCAGCTAATGTCCCAAAGGGGCTTCACTAAGATTTACAAAACTCTCATAGTTTCCATATAATGCATTTTCGGTGATCCCATCTCCTAGGTCAGAAAATTAAAGGAAATCATTGAGAAAGGATGTAGAAAGGTATTGGAGATTTGAACATTGATAGATTGACCAAATTTTTTTCAGTGCCAAGTGTCATAAAAACGATGTCAAAACATAATACAATTGTAGTGTCATAAAATTCTGCCATTCTATATTCCCCATGTTCTTTGGTCATAGGAACATGGTCACAGCATTTACGTTTACATAGGAGTCTTTAAAGCTCAAGAACATTTAGGTAGCTTAAGAAACTCAAGAACAACAAAACTAAATGAATAATCCAGTTAAGAAAAGGGAACAGTGTTATGGTACATTGAACTAAGCTGCCACCTGTGATGCCAGCATCCAAATCCGAGTACATGTTCGGGTACTGGTTTCTCCATTTCCAATCCAGTTCCCTGCCAATGCTCCTGGGAATGCAGCTGAAGATGGCCCAAGTACTTGGTCCCCTGCAGCCCACGAGAAAGGACAAGATGAAGTTCCCGGCTCCTGGCTTTGACCTGTACTAGCCCTGACTATTGCTGCCATCTGGGGAGTGAACCAGTGGATGGCAGGTTCTCTCTTTCTCTCTCTCTCTCTCTCTCTCTCTCTCTCTCTCTCCCTCCCTCTCCCTCTTTCCCACCCTCTCTCCCTCCCTTTCCCCTTTCAAATATATAAATAAATAATCTTTTTAGAAAGAAATGATCAAATCAAAAGATATAAATAGACATTTTTCAAGGGAAGAAATACAAATGCAAATGGCCAACAGATACATGAAAAAATGGTCTGGATCCCTAGCCATCAGGGAAATGCAAATAGAAATCACAATGAGGCATCAATTCACCCCAGTTAGAATGGCTATTATACAAAAATAAAAAAAAAATGTTGACAAGGATGTGGAAAAATGGGTATCTTTACATACTATTGATGAGAATGCAAATTAGTATAGTTATTACGGAAAACAGCATGGAGAGGCCTCAAAGAAAACACCCCAAAAGATTTATGTCCTATTTCTGGGCATATATCCAAAGGAAGTGAAGTCAGCATATAAAAGAGATACCCGTATTCCCATGTTTTTAGCACCTCAATTCACAGTAGCAGAGATATGTAATCAACCTAGATATCCATCAACTGATTACTAGATGAAGAAAATGTGATGGAATAGTACTCAGTTATAAAGTAAGAATGAAATCTCGACATTTTCAACAGAATAGATGGAACTGGAGATCCTTATGCTAAGTGAAATAAATCAGACACAGAAAGGTAAATATCACATGTTTTCCCTTAAATGTGGAAATTAATATAGAATATAAAAATTGTGTGGATGTCATATTATTTGTTATGTACATAGTTACAAATATTGTCTTCAATGATTTATACCATCTACATGACAATATACCCTTTTTCCCTCACTTAATGATCATTGTCATGAATCTCACATTGTGTAATGTTAATATCTTTGTTTTCAAGACAAAATAGCATATGTGTGTGAAAATAATATCTACATATGAAACGAATATGGCAAAAATGTTAAAAATTGTTAAAAAAATAAATTTTAAAAATGCTTTTAGGAGCACAAAGAAAAAATAAATGTCACACTGCACCTCATTTAATTATTGTTAACAAAATATTTTAATAAAAATAAAATTCAAGAATAAAGAGTCTTTAGACAGAAATCATAGTAAAGGTCAAGATCCAGGTCATGCTATCAGGTTTATCCTTGGGCAAAGGAATAATATCAGGAAAGACTACTGGACCTCTGCAGTTTTCCCACTGTAACACTAGCCAACTAAGAACCCTCCCTTTCTCATTCTTAGAGATTGCTGGCTGTCAAGGTTATATCAGATATGAAGGAATGGTGAAGACTTCTTGGAAATATTATATTTTCTAGGATCCCCTTGGCAATGACCATCACCTATGGCTCTTTGGAGAACTTGGATCTGACCCTCAGAGACAGGCTTTGCCAGTGGCAAAAAGCCAAGCCTGGAGAAAATTTCGAACTCCATGGATAAAAGACACAAGAGAAAGAGCTGTAGGGGTTAAGTTTAAGCCTGTTGTTCAGCTGAGGGGAATTGATTTCGCTGCTCGAAGCCTGGCTGCTCCTAGGCAGCTAGTGCATTAAGCAAAATACATCAGGGGAGGAGCCAATTTGTTTCAGGTCTGGATTATCTCTGCCAGACCCCAAACCACTGAAGAGATGGAGTATCCATTAAGAACTACCTCCTCCCCCTGCCTGACGTTTGTTCGCCGGTCTGGCGGCTGCCCACAGAGATGAGTGGTGGGAAGTGGGAGAGACAGGAAGAAATAAAGAGCTGCTGGCCTGAGTCATACTCAGCAAGGTGACCTGATGAGACCCTTGGGGCCCATTTGCTTCACCTGCAGCTGATCCAGCTGGACAAGCGTAGGGTCCAGGGAGACTTCCACTGGGACCTCCATGCCCTGCTCCAACCGGTGAAGGAAACATCTGGCCAGGAGATTATTTCAACCCTGGGGATGCTGAGTTTTCCAAACATCTGGCCCCTGGGCCCTGAGAACACAGCCATTATTCACATTCCCCTGGGTATACATGTGCAAGATGCTTGTGAATAATCCCCATCTTCTGTGAGAGCTAAACAAAGAAGAAATAGGTGAGAAGTAAATATAAGGAACTTCTTGGCAGGAAAAAAATGTAAGATCCTGGATCAGGTTACTCAAGGGAGGCCAAGAATCATTCTGGAGTAGAGAATGTATCAGAATACCTGGAGTGCTTAAAACAACATGAACTCCCCAACACCCCAGTCTCCTTTTGCATTCTCATATACACAGCACCAGGTAGAAAACTTCATGTTTTGAAAAATTTCCCAGTGACTCTGATACACATGTTGTGTTCTCTTTCCCTAACCCAAGGGAGAATCACCATTATGGACATTTTTTTTTTCAAGAGATAGAATTCGACAGACTCAGACACACACAATGCTTTTCTCCATATAAGGTCTTAGTGCTCCATGCTTCAAGCTGAATGAAAGTGGCCACTGGAGATAGATTGATATCGGGGATGACCCCTAAAATTTATATACCTGAATTTGGGGTGCCATACGATATCACCATATGCTTATTAATAAAGCCCAATATTAATAAGCCTGAGAGGGTTCTTGCCTAATATTTAGAGAAGAATTCTAAATACCGGCACAGATAAATGAGGCAGCATGGTACATTTTAAGCTTTTATTTAGTGAGAAAGATATGTAGGAGAGTGAGAGCTTTATCTAAGAAAGAGAGGTAAATCTGGGTTCATATCAAGCACCAGAAACCAGCCACATGGAGGAGCATCTAGGTGAGGAAGCCTAGGGCGGGCGGCCCGAAGGCCACGTGTCCTGGAGGTGCAGGGTATTGCAAGCCTCCTCCTGGCAAAAGGCCAGGGAAAAGAGAAGAGAGGGTGGGACACACTGTGTCCTAGGCTTTTAACCCACTTCCAAAGGGGAGTGGTTAATTAACCTGATTGGCTGGTAGGCACCCAGGTGTGGCCAGTTAGGGGCATGAGGTCACATAGGGGTGTGGTGATAGTATCAGGTAGGGTTTGAGGTCACACAGGGGCATGGCGAAGGCATGGTTTTCCAGCTCACAAACCTAATTGATTTTAACCTGTGTGCCTGCCTACTTCAAGATCACTGAGATCTTGATTCCAGAAACCATTATCTTTCTATAACTTATACCTGTTGATTATGTGTCAATTAAAGTGGCTTAAAATATTACCTATTCTGGAAGCCATACCTTTTCTTGGAAAGTCTTCCAAAAATTTTACCAGTTATCATGTCATTTTTCCTTACCATGATGAGTAACGATTATACAAATAGCATTCAGGAGCTGGCATGGTGGTGCAGTGAATTAAGTTACCACCTGTGATACTGGCATCCCATATCAGAATGCCAGTTCGAATCCTGGCTGCTCTGCTTCCAATCCAGCTCCTTGATAATGTGCCTGAGAAAGCAGTGGAAAGATGAGTGAGAAAGCTCACATACTTGGCCCCTGCCACCCACATGGGAGACCCAGATGCAGTTCTGGTCTCTTGTTGCAGCCATTTGGGGCGTGAAGCAGCAGATAGAAGATCTCTCTCTCTCTCTCTTACCCTCTTTGTCAATCTGCTCTTTAAATAAATAAATACATAAATAAACAATTTTTTAAAAAATAAAGCCCCCTTAAAAATTAAAATGGCATCCAAGGAAGTTAACCTGCTAGCCAAGACTCACAGAGCAAACTGATATGGAGCAAAAAATATGGTCTAAGGCTTCTGACTCCTAGCCCTGGAATTTATGAGCTTCCTCTTGATTTTTCTTTTTCCCTTTGGGAAGAAAACTGTATCATAATGTTTTCCAGAGTGATCCATGGGCCATTTACATACGAATCACCTGGGATTATGGATAGTGCAGATTCTCTAGTGCTAAGAAGTCAGACTTGAGGCCTACTAATCTGCATTTTACACAACCTTTTGGGCTGACTTAATTCTGAAAATGTATTATGAACTATTTCAGATGTATGCACCACTCAGCTTAACAATAGAATATTACCAATATAGTTGAATCCCTCTTCATATGCTGATAACACTCCTTATCCCCACTGCAAAGTTAACTACTGCCTTGGATTTGTTATTTATTGTTCCCCAGCATGAGGCCAGTATGCAGTAGAATTTGAAAATACTATGTTCACTTTGTTCAAAGTGCTGTTTCTTTCTGGAATTCCCTTTTCTTCCTTTCTGTCTGGAAATAGCTGTCCATCCTTCAAAGGCCAGGCCCAGTGCAGCCTGTCTGTGAATCCTCCATTGATCTAGTTTTGACATCTCCAGCAGATGTGAACTATCCTCTAACTCTGAGAAAATGTGGGGATAAATGAGCGGGGTTGGTGAGTGAGGGAGTCATGCATTGAATGGGGACTCGAAGATGGGATTGGGGAGTGTAATAAGATGGTTG